TTCGGGGACCACCACTTCACCCTTCCTCTTTCTACCGTGTCCCGACCACTCCCTCTGTCCTCTTCCCACCTTTTTTTTTTTTGGTTTTACGATCCTTTGTCTACATTTCTTATTTCCCTTTTACAACTGTACGCAAATGAATATCACATGGACCGACAAAACCGCATCTGAGGGAGGATGCGGTGGTCCAATATCACTACATTTGTGTTTGCGCGTTGCGTTCGATTACAAGTGTAACACATTAATTCAAGACATCTCGAACGATCGACCAAAATTGGCTTCGTGATCGACCGGTCGATCGTGATCAACTTGTTGGCCACCCCTGATATAAGGGATCTCTCTTAAGCTTTCAGTTCAGTCCAGATCTATTCTTCTCTACTGAAGTTTCTTGTCACATTTACTAGAACAAACAAACGAAAAGGGACTAATGAAAGCCAGAAGTGCTAAGTTCATCTAATGAATAACTTATTGGTGCCAGGTAAGAGAGCATTGAGAGGAAAGGGGGACTAACAGTGGCACAATTAACATTGATCATTGTGTATTGTCAATGTCCTAAACTTTTTGAACAAGGGATGACATGCCAGGGACACAATGACAGAGACCTTATTGTGCCCCTTTCATGAAAAATTCTTGGGATTACTCACTTGGATTCAAAGCTGGGTCTCCCAGAGCAATAGGCTGATGTCTTAATTGCCTAAACCATCTGACAGGCTATAATTACTTGTTCTAGTATTTCATTTTTGAAATATGCATCTTACTCATTTTCTACATTTATTTTCATTTGTTTAATTGCATTGACATTCACTCATATTTATAATTTGATATTTATTATAACTTATGCATGCTGCAATATTGATTTATTATCAAGAATAAAAGACAAGATACTTAAATACTAAACATTGTTAACAAATCTAATTTTTATACTACTAATAATTCTATACTTTATTTCAAACACAGATATTGAAAACAATAAGGAGCAAATTATATCTCCATCTCATGCTAAATCATTCATCCAATTATCTTTATTATATTGTTATATTGATTTCCTAATATAAAAGATCACTCCTAAAAATTTTTAAGTTATCTCATAAAAGAGAATTTTCTGAAAAATTATAGTATATTGTTTCTTTATAAACTGCAAAAAATTTGCATAGATCTTTTTCAATTATCTGATTCTCAAAGTAAATAACTGTTAAATATAATCTAATTAATTAAACTCTTTTTATTTGTCTGTAATTTTTTATTTTCTTTCTACTACTAGTTATTATTAATAAAGTTGCTGATAATAACAAACAGTAAAATTTTAAAAAAACAAAAACAACTTTCGCTTGAACTAAGGCTTTTTTCACTAAAAACTTAAAATATAAAGAAGAATTGGCTTAAATAGAATGTAGTTTATTGGAGCATATTCTTATAGTTATTATGAGGTAACTAGTCCATAGGAACCTACAAGTACATTTATAATTTTGATTCTAGTACTCAGATTTTAATGTATTTACTTTTCCTCAATTCTAAGACACAAGAAGTTTAAAATGCATAAAATAGTTAAAGTTCAACAGTTTTATTTTCATGCTCTTCTGTATATACAATAAGAGTTTATTTTAATGTTGTATCTTAATGTCATCTGTAAAGCATTTTACACATTAAAAAGAGTTTAAATTAAATGCTTATTACCAATAAAGCTCTTTTGAACTAATACAGTCAAGAAGTATAGACAAAACTGTTTATTACTGGTGCATAATGTATTATATTGTATCAATGATCCACTTACAAAGACTGCTGATTGCTATTCTGGACTGTAAATGTGATACACACTCAATTATTAGACACAGCTATTTCACACATGCAAAAATGGATAGAAAAGTGTCTTAGAATCAAGGAAAGTATTTAAGAATCTTAAAATGTTAATACTTTAATCTCTGATAATTATTTAAATATATATTATTGATATATCAAAATATTAAATTTCATTGAGTAATTTTTAGTAGCTCATCTTTACTATTATAAAATAAAAGGTCTACTTCATATGTAGAAAAGAAAAACTAAAATTTCACCAATTTTGAGTTTTCATTTTCCAAATATGATTTTAGTTTATGCTATATAATACTATATAGCTATGTATAATATTAATTGTATCATAAGTTATTTCTTGTTATTCTGACATATAATGTATTCACTAAACATATTAGCCACATTTTGTGAAATCCTGGTAAGTAAAATTGTATTGTATCTACAGAATCACAAATTAATATATTATTTTATAGTTAATATGAATAATATATCAAAATTATTAATTAATAATACTGCATGTTTCTTCTATATAGATCAATAATAATATAATATCACACTATAAACCTTGATACTTGCTAAAGAGGAGTATGTGTATTAAATTTAGACTTATATAATGATGATATTTAATCTATTTTTCAAAATTATAATCAATAATTGAAAAATAAAAATGTAATAAAATAATTATCCCACAAGATTGCTGCAAGCATGCCCTTGATCACTTCCAAATAATGTGTTCTCTAGAATAATGTTAAAAATTAACATGTTGCTTATTCTTTCCTGTTTGAAGAAACTTGAATACATCTATATATGTTATTCTCTAATCGTATTAAGAGTTGAGAGAAAATTATTTAAAAAAATCTTTTAAATTATATTTATTAATCTTAATATAGATAGTATTTTAAATAATAACTTCTAATAGAAATAACTATCTTAAATAGCTTGCAATTAAATTATAAATTTTAAGAAAAAAATTAGAAGATATTAAATGTGATTCATAAATTCAGCTCATAACAATTTGACTGTAGAGAAACTTATTAAACCAGTGGTTCTTAACTGAAAATATTCTTCTCAAGTAACTTAAATGAATTCGAGAGAGAGAAAAAGTTTTATCCTAAAATTATAATATATCTTAGAGGTCATCCATTAATTATATGTACAATTTAAGGGAGGTGGGGGCACAAAAGATAGATCATTACATACAATAAAGAAGGGGGAAGAGTTGAAACATTTTCTACATGGGCTTTTTTCAGTGGTATATTAGTAGCATTTTAATTTGTTTTTATAAGCCTAGTCATTTAAATCATCTATCAGTTAGAAAATATTTGCAGAATTTTTCTGTCATTTCTTGGATGTCATGAGTCCATAAACTACTGTATGTGTAATTAAAAGATGGAGGTTTGCTAAAAGTACATCATAAACAACAGGGAGAGGGGGAATCAAGTGGCTCAAAAATCATACATGTAATTAATGGACAGTCCCTTATGTAAAATATAATTATTGCAAAATGATTATTTGTATCTAAAATATTTAGTAGTTAAGTCAAAGTCATCATAAACAATCCATTTTTCCTGATCTAGAATGTAAATGAATTGAAGATAAACAGAAAACATTTCTCATTTATAAAAAAAAACTTATTTTTAATATTTTCAATTCAAAATTTAAGCTTCTACAATACATTACTTCTAAATATTTTTAGATATTTCATAAGATGAAGAGAATATGAGATTAAAAAACATTAAGAACCACTGACTTACATAGTTTAAATTATACAATATAATCAACTTTTAAAGTTATTTTTTTACTTTTAAATAAATAATTTAATAAAATATTCATATTATTGTCTTCAAACGAAAACATATATGATATTTCTTTTTACTTTTTTACTTAACTTATAAAATTTTCTTCAATTTTACTTAAGAACTGGATGCTTCTTCATAAGTAACATCTAAACTAATTAATATTAAATATAATAGAAATTCTAATGTACATTGTTTATAAGTATTTTCTTCTTTATTTATATTAAAATAATTTAAAAGATAAAGTATAATTTTAGAAATAATAAACAACATGTTAATTACACTTTTAGAACTTGATATAAAAAATTTAAGGCATGCTTAATTTATATAATTTTTAAGTACATTACAGAAAATAATTAAAATTATATATTTGGATGATCAAGTTTGGAATAAACATATTCACTAGCACATAAATGTATATATAAAGTTCAAATATTCTCCTGTAATGTTCTATAAGAAACAGCAATTCAACTTTCTGGCATTTTTGTATATAGCTTTATGAAAGCTTGTCTTTATATTATAAATAAGATTGCAAATATAATAAATATTAAATATCTTCTTCCGATGTATTATTTCCATATAAAATGGGGTCACTTTCCTCTACAGAGAGTAGTCAGATTTTGCATAATTTTTATAAACAAAAGTCTATTTTACTGTCAATCCCCCTCTTTATCTGGACTTGGAACCAATCAAAGACACCAAGCTCTGGCTAGAAACAACAGCAACTGGTATTCTGTGCTATTTTGATTGGAATATCATCTAAGCATTACAAGACAAAATTTGGTGATCTTAATAAGAATTGGTATACTCACAAAAAGATGGCCATACATTGTCCTTTCCAATTTGAACGAAACTTGATGAGCATGTAGCCCTAAACACAAATAGTGTCTTGTTCAAATAATAGGACCCACTTCTAAAGTGTTTCTGAAAAATGAGCCTCTGAAATTGAGTGTTCAGTTTTCGAGTCTGGAAGTTCCACGTATCTTAAGAATGGCAGTAGCCGAGCATAAGATTCTAGATACTGCACATGATATGGATTCGATCCTTTGTGAGTTTTGTTTATCTTATTTTATTATTTTACTGTATTATTAGCATTATTATTATTATTATTCTTATTCCTCATGTAAGCTTCAGATATGGTGGTATTGTTTTATTTGAAGTATAACAAACCTAAGTGCATGAGGAAATTGTCCATATCATTAACAATTAAAAGAAAAATACTGCAACTATGCTATCCTATTTTCATAATAAGGATTTGTCATTTTCATCTATGAGAAGTAACATCTGAAGCTTATTCGCTTGTGCTGACAGAGTATGTAACCACAAGCTAAAATATCTGAAAATAAACATGAAAAAATAAAAATTTTATTTAACGACATAAAAGAGTTACATCTACAGAAATTTNGGTATTAGACTTTAAATCACTCTACCCGTCTATTAAACTACCGGCAGTATTTTGCGCCGTAAGAGACCTCCTGTTTAACATGGTTAATGATAATAGCTTACACCAACAGATACTAGAATTGGCACATCTTATCTGTTATAACTCTTTTTTCCAATTCAACGGGATCACGTACGGCCAAGGAAGAGGCGTCCCCATGGGTAGCCCCATCGCAGGGGACCTATGCGAAATAGTGGTCAGACAATTAGAAGATATAGTCATCCCTCAATACTCACCTAACATCTTACTATATAAACGATACGTGGATGATATTCTCATCTTATGGAGGATTGAGCCGGATGTTTCAAGGTTCGTTGATTCGTTCAATGATAATCCATACGGCCTGACCTTAGAGATCGATCAAGCTCACGCTTCTGAAGCCCATTTTCTCGACATCAACATCAAGTTCGAACAAACAACTACCCGTACAGAAGTGTACCGGAAACCAGGGGCTGAGCATCTATACATTCCAATAGGATCGTGCGATCCACCGAACTATAAAATGGCAGCCTTCAACGCCTTAATTAGGAGAGCATACTCGCATTCATCGGATCGGATATCCCTACATGCCGAACTAAGACATATTGAACAAATAGCCAACGAACATGGTTATCCCAAGATCGTACGTAAATTGATCCGCAAATGGCGCTGCCGAGAAGTAGCCCTTAACCAAGCACCCAAGGAAGTTCCATCTAACATCATCCCGGTTACATACAATCCGTACCTGAAATCAATTTACAACACAATAGCGAAGAAAAAGAATATTCGCATCGCGTATAGAAGATGCGCCACAATTTTTGACATTTTACGGAACGGGAAAGATACCCCAAACAAAGAACGACGCCCAGGGGTATATACCATCCCAATGATTGATCATAGATGGAACAGAAGCCTGATATACGTAGGATCCACTAAGCGCTCCTTAGAGGTGAGAATTAAAGAACACATGGCGGATATTCTACATGCAAGGCAAAACACCGCTCTTGCCGTCTATGCCTCGGATACGGAAATAGAACCGTTATTCAGCCAGGCCAAGGTAATCCGCACTACAAAGTACACACACCACCTTAGATGGCTAGAGGCCCTGTACATATGTATGGCTACGCTTAAAGACGACAATTGCATTAACAACAAAGACGAGATCATCCTGTCAACTGCATGGCAGGTGCTCGTAGACAAAAAGTTACGTTAATTTAGAACCAGCGAAGGGGCGCATGCGTCAATGACGCCAGCGATACGTACGAGAAAATTCGTAATGATGTTCTTTTTTCAATCAAATTTGAATGGCGTTCGCTTGGACATGTTACCTGAGGAAGAACTTAAAGTTCGAAAGCGCTAGTAATACTTCGTTTACAGAGAAGCACACCGGAAACAGGTTCATTGTACGTTGTTTTTTGATTATTCTATCCCGGTGTAGTGCAGTGCCGATTTAATTAAAAAAAAAAAAAGAAAAAACTGAAATCACCTAGAATTAAGCCCATATCAAGTAGTTCCAGCATCTATAACCTTATCCACTCAGATACTGCCATTCTTATGATATGTAGAACTTCCAGACATAAACTGAACACTCAATTTTCAGAGACCCGTTTTTTGGAAGTGCTTGGAGAAGCGAGTTCAATTATTTGGATAAAGAACTATTTGTGTTTAGGGCTATGTGCTTGCCAAGTTTCATTTGAATCAGAGAGGACAATGTCTGGCCATCTCCTTGTCAGCAAAGGTTAGCCATTTATTTTAACGTATTGATAAATATTAAATTAAATAATTAACCTATCAATATAAATGACTTTTTAATATGGCAGAAAATGTTAGTTGCATTTCATTAAATTTTACTACAATAAAAAAATGATTTTATTTTACAGGATAATTAAAAAACAACTTTGCAAGTATATGTAATTTTAATCAGAAGACTTATATAATCAGTTGATGTGTTCATTTATAGCAAAATACAGTTATCCCTTGCTTAGTGTGGGATTTGATTAATGCGCAAAATTAACTGCGGCAATCCCTTTATACATGCAACAGAAGTTTTAATCAATGAGGCTTTACCAGATGTCTTTACTTAACAGAGATACCATACTTGATTAACACAATCTTGATATACATAGCATCAAGGGATTAATTAACCATATTAATCAAGGAATACCTGTACATCAAATTTTATGTCAAAAAGTCATTTTGGTTCTTTCTGAGTATGAGAAACCTGAATTCAATTTCTTGCTAAACTTGAAGCAGCATATCTTTGTCACTTCAGTAACTGTGAGAGTGGTGTAAGTTTTAAGCTCAGTGAAATTTACAGGCAGAGATGAAATAAACATATCATTTTCAATAAAATTCCATAAGAAAAAATTGATAAATGTCAAATGAACAAAGTAGCCACGCTGGATACAATCCACCAACCTGGGAAAGATTTCTAAATGAAATTTCAAATATCTATACCATTGTTTCTCAACCTCTAACGAATCATCGCCCCCTTCAATAAAACCGTTATGTAGTATCACCTCCTTCACTACAAAATTCCAATGCCAAGGGACAAGGCTATCTCCTGTAATGTTCTGTAAGAAACAGCAATTCAACTTTCTGGCATTTTTGTATATAGCTTTATGAAAGCTTGTCTTTATATTATAAATAAGATTGCAAATATAATAAATATTAAATATCTTCTTCCGATGTATTATTTCCATATAAAATGGGGTCACTTTCCTCTACAGAGAGTAGTCAGATTTTGCATAATTTTTATAAACAAAAGTCTATTTTACTGTCAATCCCCCTCTTTATCTGGACTTGGAACCAATCAAAGACACCAAGCTCTGGCTAGAAACAACAGCAACTGGTATTCTGTGCTATTTTGATTGGAATATCATCTAAGCATTACAAGACAAAATTTGGTGATCTTAATAAGAATTGGTATACTCACAAAAAGATGGCCATACATTGTCCTTTCCAATTTGAACGAAACTTGATGAGCATGTAGCCCTAAACACAAATAGTGTCTTGTTCAAATAATAGGACCCACTTCTAAAGTGTTTCTGAAAAATGAGCCTCTGAAATTGAGTGTTCAGTTTTCGAGTCTGGAAGTTCCACGTATCTTAAGAATGGCAGTAGCCGAGCATAAGATTCTAGATACTGGACATGATATGGATTCGATCCTTTGTGAGTTTTGTTTATCTTATTTTATTATTTTACTGTATTATTAGCATTATTATTATTATTATTCTTATTCCTCATGTAAGCTTCAGATATGGTGGTATTGTTTTATTTGAAGTATAACAAACCTAAGTGCATGAGGAAATTGTCCATATCATTAACAATTAAAAGAAAAATACTGCAACTATGCTATCCTATTTTCATAATAAGGATTTGTCATTTTCATCTATGAGAAGTAACATCTGAAGCTTATTCGNGGATACAATCCACCAACCTGGGAAAGATTTCTAAATGAAATTTCAAATATCTATACCATTGTTTCTCAACCTCTAACGAATCATCGCCCCCTTCAATAAAACCGTTATGTAGTATCACCTCCTTCACTACAAAATTCCAATGCCAAGGGACAAGGCTAATGCCAAATTCGTACTGCATTGAATAGACTAGTGACTAGTAATAATGCTTGTTTAATTATTGTACAATATAATGAATAAAATATCTAATTATTCTTAATATAATGTTTTACTATATCACCCAGAAAATTGTTTTTGCCCCCCAAAATATAAATTGTTATTAATCGCCCCCTGAACATGGAAAAATGCCCATATGGGGGCAATATCGCAATACACGCCCACATGGGGGCTGATCTATACAATAGTGAAGTATCATGCCATCTTACTAAAAGTATATGCATTCTTCTGTATCATTGTTGTCTAACTGTGGAATGAGAAAATTTACCAGCATATCCAGATATATGATACTATCAATGATCTCCTCATGGAAAAAGAAGGAGATATACACCATACCTTTACTATGAGCACAAAACACAATTACTTTTGGACTATCAAAAACATTTTCTACAGTTACTTGTGGGTTTTCAAAGCCACAAATCTGCAGTTGTGAATGTTCACTGAATATAATATTGTCCAGATATGTCTCATCTTCCTCAATCCGATGCAACATTTCTGTATTATGTGAGATAAATGTGATGTTGCTATAAATTAACTAACTAACTAATTTTGTAAATCTTCTAATAAAAATTCTATATGTGTTCACAGTTGCAGTCCTTTTTGAATAACCCTGTATTTACACAAACATTCCAAATTGAATTAGAATAGAATATTAGGTTAGAATAATAATCCTTATAATTTAAAATTCTATACTAATTTATAACTTAATCCAATCCATAATAAATCCATAACATGATATTAATTACTATTGTGAATATCAATAGTAAATCTTTACTTATTTTCATAATATGATCAATAATTAATTGATTATTTCTTTATGTTTTGGATAAAACTATGAATATCAAAGTCTAAATACCCTGGTAATGGCTTGTATCTTTATCAACAAGACAATATTTCCTATTATAGAATCATGTTGTAATAAACTGATTAACTAGTTTGAAAGTATCTAAAATTAAGTTAAAAGTATCTAAAATTACAATAGAAAGCCTTTGTAATAAATTGAGCATGTGAAAAGAAATATCCAACAGATAAAGCTTAACTGTTTTACTATGGAAGTAAAAACAGTTAAGCTTTTATGGAAGTATATATAAAAACTGGTATAAAATATACTTTAGAGAACTAGAGACTTTAACAGAGGCTATAAAAATTATTATTCATTGACAGCTTTCCTAGTGAAACGGAGACCAATTTGCAGATCAACAGATATCTGGATATTAACGACAGAATATATTTTTTTTAAGATAATTATTTTAGCCTAAGACTAAATTAAAGAACAAAAAAAAACATTTAATTTTCAAACTTGTTTTTTTTAATCGAAAAGCTACGTTATCATTGCTACTGCATATTCAAATTCCTTACCCATTAGTTTTTGAAATGACTGTATCAATAAAATCAGAGACACAGCAAATTTTTCATTATTAGAAACTTTAGCAAATTAATATACTAATTATAATAGAATTACCATATTTCCTCAATTATTTTTTGTTTATTATATTTCCTGAAAAGGTTCACTTTTAAAACTTATGTATATTCCAGGGTTTTTTCAAGACCAGGATTTATTACCTTGTAGCAGGAGATAAGTGAATAAAAATTGAAATAAATACCTTAATTATTCATACATTTCCAAACTATGAAAACATTTACTGACTGTATTTATGGTTTACATCTACAACATTTGAAATAATTACTGTTTTTATAGTTAATCCAATTCAGCATCTTCTAATTTGGTTATTACATTGTCGTTTGTGTTTGCTTTAATGTTGCCATAGGAATCAAGATCTTGACTTCCATCTTCTGGTTCAAGTTCACTCTTTCCAAAAGAGATGGTGAGCTTGAACCAGAGTTTTCCTAATTATCCTTCAGCTGATAAGCTCTCAAATTATGAACTCAATTGCAATTTTCCCATGCTCAATATTTGGCAATATTTATAATTTTATTTCAAAAAATGCTTCCACAAACCTTGGAATAGAAATTGCTGTCTGATTCTAGACAATATGAAGTGGGAGAATTTTAATTAAACTCTATACCTGTCACTCTAAACTATGTTATCCTACACAGTGCAGAACTTCACCATATTTCTATTCTTTTCAACTCTGGGTTAATTTGAGACAGGAGTTTAATCAAGTAAATATATAATATTCAGAACATTTTCATTGTTTCTTAATTTCTTCTAACAATTCTGTCATCACAGACATGAATAGATTTAATTATTATTACTTTTTATATTCCATTCCTTCTTTTCTTAACTCCTTCTGCTCTGAAAAATCAAAGAGGACCTGTTAATCATGTCCTCACAGGTTTGGCAAGAACACAATGATGAGGGGAAAGGTCCAACATATCTAAGTTAATTCACCCCTAAATGTTATTGAGCCAACTCGGACTCAAAAGTAAGTGTTCAAAATAACAAGCTGATACCTTTTCCACCCTTGGCTATCCAGCCATCAGATATTTCTATTTAAATACATTTTCTAAAGAGTTAATATTTAAAAAACAATAACAATTAACAACATATTGATATATGCTTCTTGTCCTTAATTATTTATATTATAGTTTTGTCAACTTTGGACATTCTTGTAAACTAGAACTAGTTACACTGAGGGAAGAGAAATACAATTTCAAATTAAAACGTATTTAATGTATTTAATGCTGGATTGAAGTATCCAGCATTTCGTGTCAATGCCTCTCCTCAGCGTATGTTACAATTTTATATTTTAACATACCCATATATTTCTTTCAACATTTTCAGAATAGACTTTTAAACAGCAATTTAAAAATCTATTCCATTGTGCAGATTGTAGTGGCATACAGGATTGTGTTACATTAAATATGTTTTAATTTGAAATTGTGTGTTTCTCTTCCCTCAGTGTAACAAGTCCTAGTTCACAAGAACATCTAAAGTTAACAAGAGTATAACAATTAACAACAGTTTATTAATATTTGATATCAGTGATATACTAGTTAAATTTAATAACAGAACACACATGCAAATGTTATTAATATTTGATATCAGTGATATACTAGTTAAATTTAATAACAGAACACACATGCAAATGTCTTCTGTTTTTCTCATATAGTAAAATTTTCATACTGCTAGTGAATGTGTAAATTCTTTGATCAATGTTTATAAAAATATGAAGAATTTTCAATATATCAGTTAAAATGCATTAATAAAAATTCAATTTTAATACACACAAAATTTAATAATTTTCAATTTTTTGCATATCTTTCTCAGATTTTATTAAATAAATTTGATCCTTCAATATTATATAATTTATTCCAAAAGTAAAGATCTGATCAAAATCAATTAAATCGAATGATTTTATTCATTCAATTTAATTGATTTTGTGAGAGAGGCGTGAGANATAGTTAGAAAAGTTCTTATATAATTTTGTAATCTAAATAAAAATAATTATTATATAGTTTTTAATCTATTATATCAAATCATAAATAAAGATTTTAAATTATAACACTTTTTAAAGGAAAAACTTAAAAACTTTTCACAAGATAAACAACAAAAGCTGTTGTAAGTTAATTTTCTTATAAAGTATTTATATATACTTTATAATATAAATATCATCAAAATGTTTGATTAAACTTATGTTTTATTGTATTCTATAAACAACCTAGTTTTAAATCCCTGATAAATTTAATAATAAGCACATTTGATTTTTTGACATTGAACAGATTCCTAGACTTCAATTTTTAGTTTAATGTAAAATTATTTTCCATCTTTTCATAAAATAATCTAAAATAAATTAATTATATATTTAAACAGTTAACAAACTTCATTAAATTATCAAGAAACAACTGCACTAATCCAAGCATTATTTTTGCACAAATTAAAGTTATAATTTAATGCAGTTTTACTCTTTTTATCTGTTAATGTTTCAGTATTAGCTATGAATACACAACTAATGAGATAATAAAATTTAATAAATGAATCATTAGATATTAAAAAGGATAAAGCATAAATTCTGTGAATGAATATTTAATGGTATCTTTTCCATAAAAATGGGCATTTATCTATTTGAAACAATCTTTTCAGCATTCTTAGAGTTGTGACATTTTGAATACATTATTTATTATAAGGTGAATGAAAATTGAATCTAATAAGAGAAAAAACAGTAAATAACTGTAAATAAAGAAAAATATTTATATAATTTTTAGATGTGAGAAGTGCTACTCATCCATGTATCTACTGAATAAATTTATACCAATGCTAACATTCAGATTATTTTGGAAAAGAATAAATAAACCAAAGGTGATGCACACAGGTGGCAAAATTAAAGTAGCATTGAATGAATGCCAATGATAGGTTCAACCAAACATCTATTTTAATTGTCAAAATCAAAAGAGGTGAGTGGTAGTATGTTGAATGTTACCTTAATTTTGCCACCCCAAATGTATCTGCTTTAAATATTCATTCAATATGAAGATTTACATTCTTGCCTTTTTAAACCTTGATTTTTAGAAACTTATCAAATTTTCATTGCAATTAACTATTTTATGTAATTAAATTTTGTGTAACTAACTAAATTAACTAAGAAAACAAAATATGTATATGATGATTTTATGAATCAATCAGCTACAAAATACTTCATGGTGCATCATCCTAATAGCTGCACTTAACAAAATCTGTATTATTTGACATGATATGCCCCTTTATGTTAAGTATACACATAATAGTGAAGGATTCAATTAATTGTAATTAAAAATATGTAAATTTAGAAAATAGCACTATTGTAATAACGTGAAATATAGTGCTTATCATCAGAGACACTGCCCGAATTTATCACCAATAATTTCTCAAAAACAATGTTTTGAAACAAATTATACGAAAATTTCATATACTCATTTTTTTCTAATTAAACTATAATTGAACTAACAATAACCACAAAACATAAATTCGTCAATACAATTAAAGCAGAATAACAAGTATTACTTACTCATCATACAAAATATATCATGCAATTATATAAACAATATTTCCATTTAAATTAAAATTTAATTTATTTAATATTAATATTTCATTAATTTTACCAATTTAAAAATTAATTTAATTATTAATTACTTTGAAAATCATGTAATTAGCTTTGATCATTAAGATAATTATTTATAAAATAAATTGTATAATTACAGCCATTATTTCCTATGAATATAAATTTTCTTCAATGTAATTACTTTATGAAATGTGTAATTAAATCTGCTGAGAACACATTAGTTTGGAGTGAGGCTACTGATAATTTTGCAATTAACATTATGTAAATTTTTCAACTTCAGTATAAATTCTGTAATTTCAGTTGCAGCAAGCTTCAAATGGGATACTTTATCCAAGACCGTGATCTTCAAAAAATCCCTGCGGTGTCTCCTCCTATAAAAAATATATCCCAGCTTAGATTTCAATAAATAATCATACAATTTAGATTCAATACAATTCTGGAAAAGAACAAAAGAAATTAAATTAAAAAGCTTGCAAGAACTATTTATTAATAAAAGTCAAATATTGTTATGAAAATATATTTGTGAAAATTATAGCCCATGATTTAATCTATATTATTGTACATTGGTAATTTTACAAAATATGATCAATGTAAACATATGCATTTGATTTGTCATTTTTAATATCTTATATTAAGACTAAAACACAGAATGGAGTAGAGTAAGGCAGGTGAAGGAAGCCAATGCAATATATGGGCAATCTGTCAGGAGAGAGAGCACCTCTCAGGAAGATTTCTATAGGAAAACTGGCCCCGTATTTAGATGTTAGACACATTACCAAGTGATCAGTGGTTCTATCCACTCAGCCACTGATGGGCACACTAAACAGAATTCCAAAAATTTTAATTATTATTATTATTATCAAATCATCATCATCATCAATAGAATCATATATTTGCATATATTATAATTATAAAACAGGACACCCTGACATCACAGTTCTGTATACCTAAAATTTACAAACAAACTATACAGCCAAAATTGAGAAATACAAAGAACTGACAATCGAGGTAGAAAAATCTATGAAAATTGGAGAGAGTACACAACCACCCTTTAGTTCTATTCTTCACAGATGTAATCCTAATAACTTTCAAACTCATCTGAAGGCATTATTAAATGCTAAACATCTTTCTTATAAGATTTATAAAGCCATTCTTCTGGATAGCTGTAGCCTCTTGTGACAATTTCTCAATGAATGCTAAAGTAATACAAAGTGCTTTTTGAAACCTGTGGCTTGGTACATGCCTGCTCGAGGCATCTATGTTTCACCATTATCCTTAATAATAATAATAATAATAATAATGCAATTTAATCTAATTTATATAAACTGTATAGTTGCTTTAATGTAGTATAAAGTATTAAAAACTATAAAGACATTTACAGTTTTATAACACATTTATTATAGTAGCAGTGTTCTGTATTATTCTAAGCATTTTTGAAGAAGAGTGCAAATTACAAAGTAATTGATCTTAATTCTTCATTATGATTTTTAATACTTTATATTCCATTAAAGCAAATACATTGATGTAGAGGACGTGGTTGCTGTATCATCAAATGCAGTGTGTAGCGTCTGTGTAATCCAAAACGAGTTGGTAGACGAACGGACAGCAATTGGTTATAAAACGTACGTTTTATTTAAAAAATTTCTAATTCATATGCATTTCGGGTTGGCTTATATTCCCAACCCCTCTTCAGTGCTGTTAAGATTACACAAAAAAATTAAGGTTAGTTTTACGACATCGGCTAGTAGGAACATAACTAAAAACGTGAGGTGATGATAACATAAAAATGCTTACTTGACATACAATGGTACAGCATAGATGTATTTTACAAAATTTTTAATTACATAGTAGTATGGTATAGCCTATGATATGAAAAAAGTGGTATAAGGGGGAGGCTGTTTAACATATCATTTATATGAAGAACTGTATAACATAGAATATTAATTTAAAAAATATCAATACACACTTACATTTTAGTTAGAATGTATTATTTCCGATACAAAAAGGAACATAGTACAAAAAATTAACAACTGGTGTTATCCGTTGTTCGTCTAGTAACAGAATACCAACAAGTAATGTTATATGAACAGTTACCCACATTCCGTACACGGGGGTTGTGGTTGAAACAATCTTTAATACGTGGAGGCATTCTCTATGAGTTTGTACCATTGGGGGTCTATGGACATGCCTTCTGAAACATTAATTAAGTTATCTTTAGGGTCTTTTTTGATTTCTGTGTGTTCTTTAAATTTTCTTTTATATGGGTCTTTTTCTATATGTAAGACTTTTGTATTGTTTTTATTAATTTGGCAATTATAGTCTATTGTGTGGTAGTACCAGGGGGAAGTGTTATGTTTTAGGCGGATGGCAGCCATATGTTCTTTAATTCTGGTTTCTAGTGACCGGCCTGTTTCACCAATATAAGTTTTCGGATTTTGACAGTTGCATTCAAGTTTGTAAACAGTTCCTATAGTTTTAAGGACGTTTAGTTTGTTGTTATGTTGTTTATTAATGTCATAATGGATACTATGAGATATTTTGTTGGTCAAGGATGGTGCCAAACTGATATTGTCTTTTTTTAATAACTTGTTACAGACTTCAAAAATGTTTTTTATGTATGGGAAGGTTTTGTATTTTTTGTCGGATTTATATCGCTGTACGTTCGTCTACCAACTCGTTTTGGATTACACAGAAGCTACACACTGCAAATACATTGATTTTTGACTCCTAAAATGAGCTTCTTTTATACTCTTTCAGCCCTGTAAGCACTGAGGAATCTCTTTCTCAAGTCCTTTATAAGTTTAGCCAGACTCACAATGGGGAACGAGGGATGGGACCAACATAACTAAAAAGGACTACCCCAAAAAATTTCTGGGTTTTTTGACCTGCTGGATTCATTTCCAGATCCCTAGAGTGATGCCCTGACATTTTAACCAGTTGGCCATTGAGCCATCTCTGAAATGTGCTAAGCATGCTTGTTTTAGTAAGTAAATATGTTATTTATATAATTTATTTATTTATTGAGTGTTCTACATATGATACTGTTTATTTAAACAACTTTTTTTTTTACAATAAAGTCATTGTGTACAATAAATAAATGTTCTGTATTCATAATGTTAAAAATTTTTGAGGGTTGTAAAATAAAATTTCTATTTAAGCCAATAAGATTGCAACAATTCATTTAATATTAAAAAATAAACAAATAGAGCCAAACTTTACCTAGGAATGAAATACGTTACGCTCATAACAACTGTACTTTTCTATTATAGGCAATATAATTTCCGTTGATTTGCACAAGTGAACTTTCAAAAAGCAGTTTAAAGTGATTTTTCTACACTAGACTAACAACATTTAACATACCTAATCACAATATCCTTTACTTTAAGATATTCTACTTCCATTATTTTTAATTAGATTCTTCCATTCACTTTCTTGGATAATTAAGTTTCATAAAATTCTCTAAAATATGTGAAATTCTACAAGACTTTTTTCAGTTAAAAGCTGCAAAATTAGTCTCTAATAAATAAAAAATTATAAGCTTTCCAACTTTCTAATTTTACCATTAAACTGTAAAATAATTTATATATTGTAAAGTTCTTTGTTTGATTTTTATAGCAATATTCCTAAATTTAACAAGACAAATTTATTAAGTTGTCATAAAAAATAAACATCTTTTTCTTATTAACATTCATTATTCATTCTTTATTTTAATTTTTGAATTAAGTCAATAAAAAACATAGAAAATGATCCATATAAATTTTAGTTTACAGAATCAAACATTTACGTTCAGAGAACCAAACTTATTCTTTATTAAATGTTGTTTTAGCTATTCTATGGCCATCCTTGGCTTGCAAAGAATACAAACCAGTAATATCAAATACAAATTTAAATTTGTATTTTATATTGTGTAAATTATAACATAGTGTCAAGTTTTACACTTATTCAGATCTAAACCTATATCAATTTTATTTACAATTTATATTTTTAAAAAAAAAATCCCAACATTACTTTTGACCTTCTAATTAATGAAAACATATGAGTATTATCTGTACAAAATGGTTTTTTTTCATTTTTGTCTTTTATTTTGGCCTATGGCACTAAAAGGCCCTTTTTACCAGGCCTGTCATAGATTTATCCAGTTCTTCAATGGGATGGCCAGGGAGGACATGACATATTTGAGACAGATCGCCCATGAATTTCTGGAGTTCTCCATCTGGATTCAATCCATAATTTTTAAACAAGTCCCAGAGTGGCAGGCTCATGCTTTTAACATTTCATGCAGTTAATTTCAAAATCTGTGATTTGTTGTAATAAAGATAAAATTTATGCTTAACTCATTGAAAAACTTCTTCAGTACCAAATGAACAGCTGAATTTTTTATTGGCTACAAGCAATTTAGCAGAAGACAGACTGCTGGGTCGGCATCTTTTGTTAAATATAATATTAATATTCAATCCAGTAACCCAAATTCTAATTAAAGCCAAATGATCTGCAGGATTATCACATTATTAAATTGTGAATTTTATTTTTTCTCTCTCACTAGATGGCAGAAGAACGACTTTTCCATTAATTGTGTTATATTTTCTTTTATTATTTGTATTTAAGAGTTATTTGCATATTTAAAGGATTGGTTTTTTAAGGCCAAATGATCTGCAGGATTACATCAGACTATATACTGTATTTACTCGCATATAAGATGAGGTTTTTATTCATTTTTCACTGCTTCATAAACCTAGATCGTCCTATACGTGTGAGCGAAGGAATTTTTGCGTGTTTGCAATAATTTTTGTAAACTGTGTATTCACATTTTTTACCGGATGCTCACCCTCTGGTATTTAAAAACAAAAGTGTTTTATCTGGGTCATTTCAATTGTTCTTGTGTATTGTCAGGAGTAAAGATGAATAGCAATAGGAAAATCAAAGCTTTTGAATCAAAATATGAATTGAAATTCCAAAATCACATGGGAATCTGATATAAGTTTTAATCCATTCTCAGGTGAAAACAGGTGATTATTTGGAAATCGGAATTTGACTGTTAAGAATTGACAAAAAAGGTTCTTGATTGTCCAGCTTTACATGAACAAATTGTTGTCGATTTTACAACATTTTTCCTTACAGTTTAAAATGCCAGTAATTTTTGCAGAACAATGCAGAACATTTACATTCATTTGATATTTTACTTGTGATTAAACGAAANATATTTAATTATTAAAATTACCATATTTACATATGTATAGATCACACCCTGTTTATGAAATGATATATTTGGAAAAACTAAAAATCTTAGAATTGTGCTAAGAAATGAGAGTAGAGACACAGATATACAGAAATACAGCAACACTGCAAATTACAAACAGGGATGAAACAATGATTAATGCTTATTGTTGTGTGCTTGCTCAGTGCGTGTTAAACATAGATCGAGTGAAAGTGAATTACACAGTGAAGTTTAAATTGCAAGTGATGCATTATGCACAAGAAAATGGAAATCGAGCAGCAGGAAGAAAGTTTGATGTAGATGAAAAACATGCAGTGATGGATTCAAACAAAGGATGCTCGAGAAAACATCATGAAATTAGCAATTGTTTCATGGAAAAACAACAAAATATCCTGATCTGGAAGTAAATCTGTTGAGATATATCCATGAAATTTAGGCAAAAGGATTTTCTGAATGTGTTGAAATGATTCAGTTCAAAGCTCAAAGGATTGCTCAAAATATAAAAGTGAATTTAAGTTAAGTTATAGCTGGGCAAGACATTTTATGATACAACATGAGTTTGTGATTTGGTGTCAAAGTTCAATGACACAGCACCTTCCTGACACCTACAAAGAGAAACTGCTTGCATTTCAGACATGTCCTCAACTCAGGAGCAGGAGTTCCTCTTTTCTTTCACAACGATTGTTCATCGCGATGTTTTTCTGCTCTGGAGAAGAAAAACATGTCCTCAGTTTAAGAAAGACACACACCTACAACTTAAGGGCAATAGGCAATGCTGACAAAACTCCTGTCTTCTTTGATATGCCAAGTGACACTACAGTCAATCAGACAGATGAAAAAACAATTCCAGTGAAAACAGAAAGAGCAGAAAAGCAGTGCTGTGCTGTAATGCTACATATCACTGCTGATGGAAACAAGCTGCCACCTTACATCATTTTTAAGCATAAAACCCTGCTGAAAGAAACACAACCACCTGGAATATTGGTACAAGTTCAAGATCAAAGCAGGATGACAGAAGAACTCTACATGAATTTGCTGAAGGCTGAAGTCAGTGTGTTTTGGTGTCCAGGTGCACTATTATGTTGGCAGTCCATGCTGATTGTTGACAGCTTCCAAGGTTATCTGACCAAAAGCATGAAAAAGATGAAGGAAGAAATAACATGGTTGTGATACTAGGAGGGTTGACTGGAATGCTGCAACCACTTGATGTATCCATCCTTTTAAAGCTCGTCTGCAACATTTCTACCATGATTGAAGGTGTATTGTGATGGAGATGACACTGACCAGGAGGCTAAGAAAACTGTCCCTGTCTCAGATGTGTGAATGGATTACGGAAACTAATACCAAAAGAAATGGTATCCAAAAGTTTCAAAGTCACATCCATTTCCAATGCAATGGATGGATCAGAAGACAATGCAGTGCATCTTGCATCATCTGAGAATGATGAAGACTCAAGTGACACTGGTAGTGACAGTGAAGTTTCAAGTGAAGAGCATAAACAATAGCTATCAGTTTCAAATGAAGACATTAATTATAATTGTTATAGTCCCATAGCATTATTGCTTAGTTGGGACCTCAGACAGCTCCCTTCTTTTCTTCTTTTTCTTCGTATCTTTTTCTTCTTCTTACTTCTCACCCCTGGTGGCCTAAAACCTCCAAACAATCTTGCTACAAGTCCTAATCTATGTAAAGACAACTAATGATAATAAATTGCTTTAAAAATTTAAATTGTTTTAAAATTATTTATTATCCAACATTAGGGTGAGGCTTACACTCATTATCTTGAGTACAGGCTGTACCCTAATGTTGGACAAAAAGTTAGGACAAAAAAGTGTTGCCTATATGCACACAAATACGGTAGTCTTAATATAACCCTATTATCCGGCAGATCATTTGACTTTAATTAAATATAATAATTATAAATAAATTAATTAATTAAATTTAATTTTAGAATATTCTGAAGGAAAACTTCTTGATGTCTAGATGATAATATTGATTAATCAATTTCTCTGCATTTTTCAAACATCATGATTTAGAAAATATAATGGTTTTAATTAATCCAGAAATACTTTGTAAATTTAGAAAACTAAACAAAATATTTTTCAATTCCCAACGTAAACAGCCACATTTCTTCTGAATGACAAAGACCAAGCACGAGAGAGTATCATCCAATGTATTTTATTACCATTCTTAACATATATGTATTTCAGGCTTTAGCCCCTCTTCAGTACATTCTATAATTATACAATAAACTAAATCAACAATTACATAAAATAAAACAAACAATAACTATCCACGAAAAAACCTTTTTTACGAGGGTTACACACCACTGCCTTATCCACTGCGAGACACACCACTGCCTTATCCACCTATGTCACCGACCCTGAAATAAGGGCGGACTTCCGGAACACCAAAGTTATCAGACACGTGTTCCGCGCGGATCACATCCGTCACCTGGAGGCCTGGGAGATTCACAAAGCTAGCAGGGGGGGGCAACTGCATCAACTACAAGGACGGGGAAACACTTGCACAGGCGTGGAAGTATTTATTCGAGGAGTTCGAGCAATGGCGGTCGGAGGGGTGAAACACGACACGCACGTTTATTTATTTACATCATTGGCAACATCGTTACAACGATCGGGTCGACAGTCACCACCTGAAGCCGACCTCGGTGGAGGTTGAAAGTACTAGTGGAACTTAATAGTGAAAATAACCCTCGTAAAAAAGGTTTTTTCGTGGATAGTTATTATTCAATGAGGAGTTAATTGGTTGGAAGTAGTTATCTTAATAAAAAAAAACATCCAAACTTCTACATACCTTTACATAACATATTTAGTACAACTTTATATAAAAGTTTTTTTTAACTGTACCATACATAAGTCAATATTGATCTTGCTTGAAAAATTATTTAAGTATGTCAGATCATTCTTTACCATAAAGTGATAACAAACACAACTAACAGTTACAAAGCTCCTCTTTTATACATTTTACTATTGCAATTAGCCAATTTAAAGTATTACGTCACCCCAATTTGTATTAACTAACAACTTATGTTTCATAATTTCATAATGTTCTACAAATTTCCTTTTATAATTGTCCATTTCTTTATGTAATATTTTAATGTTCTGTTTATCTATAACACAACTGTTTTCTTCAATGTGTATAAATATTCTTGTGCTTAAGTTTTATTTCCGCTTAATGTTCTAACCTATATTCAAAAACAACCTTCTTGTTTCTCCTACATATACTTTTTTGTTTTTAAAGTATATGTTCATGTAAAATTTTAAAGAAAAAC